AATTTTAGATACCACTTTATGCTCTGAAGATGCCTCAATGTATTACTCTAGTCCATACTGGAATAACCTCATTTCCAGAACAATTTGTCTAATTCCTATTCAACAATTCTACTTAAGTGTCTAATAAAATTTCAAAACTAATGTCCAAAACTGAGCTCTTATTTGTTCCTCAAAACCTGTACAGCCTTAGTCTTTCTTTTTCCAAATGATGGCAAGGCTATCCTTTCTCTCTTAGGCCAAAAACCTGGGTGTCCGCTTGATTCCTCTATGTTACTCATATTATCAAATTCGTATCTAATTCATGAGCAAATCGTGTTTTCCCTCCTATGAAAACCTATCTAGATTTTCAGATTTCTCAACATTTCCACCACACATTATTTCTCACCTGTTTTATCCAGTAGTCTTCCAAGTGTCTTCCAACTTTACTTCTACTTTATATTCCCAAAACAGAAGCCAAGTGAACATCTTGGTTAGATAGCATCACTCCTCTGCTCAAGACTCTAAACTAGTTTCCTATCTCTCAAATTAAAAGCCAGAGTCTTTACAATGAGCTCCGTGGTCTTACATAATCTACCAATATCCCCTACTCTCACCTCCTACCAATGTCCCCTGCATGTTCCATTCCAAACACACTGTTCCCCTTGTCGTCCCTTAAACATGTCAGGGATATTAGTGCTTTCTAGATTCTGTTATTCTTGGTTCTGCTTAAATATTCCTCTGGATTCTGAGCACTAGAACATAGTCTGACATACAATAAGATATCTGTCAAATAATTTAATAAGTTATAAATTAAGATCAATGTTAATTGAATTTGTTTTATCAAAAGGAAAGATTTTTAAATTGTTCCTGTAGTACCAGAAAGTAAGAACATGTTCAAAGATCAATGAGGCCCTATAAAAATGACTCAGAAGTAATATGAAGAAACTTATATAAACTAAATAGCAACAATTAAAACATCAAAAAGGATAATTGGTGATAATACATTAAATGGATAAAATCTAAAAGACTTTTTGGTGAAGAGTTTTTAGATATAACTCCAAAAGCACAATCCATGAAAGAAAACATTTGTAAGTTGAACTTTATCAAAATTAAAATATTCTACTTTGTAAATACACTATGAAGTGAATGAAGAGACAAGACACAGACCAGGAAAAATAGTTGCAAAACACATGTCTTATAAAGGACTTGTTTCTAAAATATACAAAGAATTCTTAAAACTCAACAACAAGAAAGTAAATGACCCAATTTTAAAATGGGCTGAAAACTTTAATAGGCAGCTCACCAAAGAATATATTTAGATGGCAATTAAGCTATGAAAAGAGGGTCAACATCTTAGGTCATTAGAGAATCACAAATTAAAACAACAATAAAATACAACTATATACCTAGTAGAAAGGCCAAAATCTAAAACACTAACAGTACCAAATGCTGGCAAAGGTGTGGGGTAACAGGAGCTCTTATGTATTGCAGGTGGGAATGCACAATGTATAGCCACTTTGGAAGACAGTTTGGCAGTTCCTCATAAAGTTAAAATATCTCCTAATCCAGCATATCCCAATTGGACAAATACCATAAGTTTTTAATTGGGTTGAAAACTTATGTTCACCCAGAGACTCTCACATGAATATTTAGAGCAGCTTTGTTCCTCTTTGAGTGATGCATAGACAAGGGCTGGGCTGGGTTCTGGGATCTGAGGGATGGGATTAGACTATGGCAGAACAGCATGAAGTTCAGGGAGACATGAGCTAAATGTGCAGATGTGAAGCAGCAATGGAGGGAAAACCAAGCAGACAAACAAAATGAGTGACAGTGTGAAGATGATAAGCAGGTATAAGACAGCTTGAAACCTCAACAGAGCAAGTCAGTTCTAGGGCTGTGAGGTGGAACTTGGAGAGTTTCTCTTGGTGCCAACATGCAGATGGAGTGCTGTCAAGGGCATGGCTCTCAGGTGATAGGAAGATGTTAAGGACTCAGAGAAGGTCTGAACATGTTCGTATCTTCATAGATCTTAATTTCCTACTGCATTCACTTGCTTCCTTTTCCAGTTCAGCTATCATTTTATTTCTACTTTGACTAGAACTTTTAATCCCTCAAACTTCCAATCCACAAAACTAAAACATATACTCAGACCAGTTTTTCTAAAGGATCTGATTCTGATCACGTTGCTCTTCTGTTTCATACAGTTTACTAGCCCCAACATTCTTATCTTCATCTTTGATGATAATCTCCTAGTCTAAATATACCTTTCCAATTTTCAGATCATGGTCCAAAGTGGGTTGGCTGGTATTCCCTTATTGTTGTAAATGTCTAGGAATCAAGACGCCTTCCATCATATGATTCTTCACTTCGCTGGATCCTTAGAGTCCTCTCTATTCAGGATGAGAAAAAGGCAGTGGGGATTATGCATGGAGGTTTTTATAGACCATGCCTGGAAGTACCCCTCACTCCTGCCACGATCCATGGACTATGACTCAGACTCATCACAACCCTTAACTGCAAGAGAAACTGGGAATTGGAATATAGCTGCATTTTGCCTGGGAAAAGAGACAGGCATGGCTATTGATGAGCTAAGGACTTTCTGCACATCAATCTTACTACCCTCCTCTAACTGTTCTCTTATTTTAGGGATCCCCTGGGCTTTCCAGCTTCTAGGATTTTTATGTATGTAAATTCTCTCTTCCTTCCTTGAATGTTTTTTAGCATGTTTCTCTCTTTGCTTCTATTTACTATATTTTATCTTGTTTGTAGTTATTTTAGCATACCATCTTTCCTACTAGGTTGCAAGCTCCCAGAGGTAATGGCTGTATTTTATCTTAGCTGTGCTCAGCATGGCAAGAGTTGAAAAATATATGCTTGGTGAGTGACTTAATGAATAATCCATGTAAGTCACTCAGCTAAAAGGAGACAAAAGGGAAGAGAGTTAAGGAATTTGATAAGCTTAATTTTGAGATTTTTATCATAAGATAATAAGGGAGAGCCAATTACATAATTAGAAAGCAGAATTTTCCCTAAAATACTGTTTTGGTTAAACACTCTGAAATACTCTTATGTATAAATGTATATAAAAATAAAGCAATATTGTCTTTAAAAATAAATCCCTCATGGGACTGAATGTTTTTGGCCATACTTAATTCTCACCTGGATTTTTTTTTGCTTGTTTTTAAATTAAAAAATACAATAATATTTGTACTTTTTAGAGTAAAGTTTGATGAGATTTGACAAATCTATAAATCATGTGATGAACAACCAAGTTAAGACTTAGAACATTTCCATCACTCACATTATGGTTAACCCTTCCATTCTATCCCTTTCAGCTCTTGACAACCATTAATCTGCTTTCTTTCCATAGAGTCCTGCCATTCTTGAAATAACACATAAATAGCATTATATGGTGGGCTGCTTTTTGAGTCTGCCTTCTCTTCACTTAGCATAATGTATTTGAGATTCATTCATGTTGTTGCATGTATCAGTAGGTCATTTATTTTCATTCCTCAGTAACATTTTATTGGATGTATATACCATGGCTTGTTTATCCATTCAAAAGTTGAATGATTACCTAATTTTAAGTAAAATTATCATCTTAATAAAAGTTATTTCCTCTTTTGTGTTTCCCTCCTGATCATTCACCAGTCTTAGATGCTGCACAAGGTGTCCCAGGATAATTTATATGCAGATATTAGTACCTTGTTCCCCATTAGTTCTTATTTTCTAAAGAAAGTAGAAGTGTACTTGGAATAGAGTTTGATTTCCCATCTTGAACAATCAAACCACAACACTGATATAAATATTTCATATTTTAATATTTAATAGTATAATTATCATTGACAATTATACTACTTTTTTAATTGAACCAATACTTTCTGAGTACCTACTTTATTCCTGGAACTGACTTAAGTGCACTGGAGAAAATGGCAAGCAAATACTTGACATAATTCCTATGCTTGTAGAATTTGCAGTCTAATGAATGACACATTAATTAAACAAATAGTGATAAAAATAAAATATCAATAATAAAAATACTAGATGGGCTATGAAACCTTAAACTATGGGTTACAGTGAGGAAGTAAAGTTGGATCAGAGATTAGATTAAGGAGAGGAGAGGAGCATTCCAGGCAGAGAGAACAGCGTGGCTCAGTGTTGGGGGAAGCAGGGTACGAGTGAGTTTTAGAAGAGAGCAAAGGATATGGAGGTGTGAGAAGGGACAGGAGGTGGAGATGAGGGAGAGATGACTTTATGGGCCATGCTGAGGATTTCATCACCATCCTAGAAGTGTTTGGGAGCTGTTGATTGCACTTATGTAAGAGTCGGAGTGGTTAGATTTGAGTTTCAATAACTAGTTCTAACCAGCCGTGAACGGAAATAGTTTTCTGTCATGCTTCAGGGCAAAGCAGACAGCGCTTCAGAGCTTCAGAGCACAGAAGCTACAGGTAGACTCTTGCAATTAGGAGAGGACTGCAAATAGTTCAATAAAGAATAATGGTAATTTTGAACTTGGATGAAGAGGGTTGGGATAGAGTTAAGTGAATAAGAAATATTTCAGAGGCCAAATAACAGGAATTTGAATCAAATTGGATATGGTGCCACTGGTGTGGGGAGAGGGAGGCATCATGGGTGACTCCGTGGTGTCTGGGTTATGCAGATGTTTTGGTGTCAGTGTAATTTATGAAAGTAAGAAATTATGGGGGAATTACTATGAGTTCAGTTTTAGACCTTTAAAGTTGGAGCCATTTTAAACATTCAAATGCAGAGTCAAGTGCGCCACTCATTATATGGGTCTGTATGGGTCAAAAAGTTGTTCCGTGAAGGTTGTTGATATGAGCCCATGATCCGCATGGGTGGAGATCGAAGCTATGGCCATAGGTTACATTGGCTAGGAGGGGGATCCAGGGGAAACAGGATTGAGCATTGAAAAATGAAAATTTACATGAACAGGAAGGGGAGAATGATCCAGCAAGGCAGATTTCAAAAGAACAGCCAGAGATTTTGAAGAAAAACCAGGGATGTGCAGACAAGTCAGAAATGAGAGTCAGGAAGGAAGGAGTAGCCAACGCAGCGTATGCTCCCAAGAGATTCCCAGCGACCCTAGTGAGAGCAGAGCTGGTGAGATGATGCGAGTGGAAGCCAGTCCAGAGTGGTCTGAAGAGGATGTCCGCAGTGAGGGGGGGAGCGGAGGCAGAGAGTAGACACAACACTTTGGAAAATATCGTTATGAAGGGACAGTGGTGTGGGTGAAAGATGGGAGAAAGGAAAGGTGGCAGCTGAGGGCATGAATGATTTAGTATAGGTTTTATTTCCCTTAGTTGTAAAGGTATGGGCTTCATTAAAAAGCCAAGAGATGGAATACATTAAAAGAGAGAGGTTAAAAATAAGAAGGCAGGCAGAGCTGGAGGAATGGGCTCTAGAAAATAGGCGGCAGAGTTAGGTTGAGATAGTTATTGAGAGAGAGCTCCTTGTTTTTATCAAGACAGATGAGAACAGATATGGGCAGGATTATGTTTACTGTTAGGGAAGATGAAAAAGTTGTCACCTGATGGCCTCTGTTTCCTCTGTAGAGTTGAAGATGAAGCAAAGTGCTGCAGGGGTGTGCAGTTCTGAGCTGAACAGAAAAGGTTGGAAACGACCATTGTAGCATAAAATAGTGAGTTAACAGAGAATGGTCTCAGGCTTGACAAATACTGACCCCTGGTTGGATTTCATTCAAATCATCCTCTATATGTATAAACATGTTAAATGCTCACCCTTATAATTCCTCTGCATTGTAATAATACCAAACAAAACAGGTAAAATCTGTACATTCGATTTCCTCTTCCATATTGCTCCTCTTGTGGATATCTACACTACGTAAGCATATCTAGAAATGCACAGCCTCCCAATTATGCATTTTCTTCATGTCCCTTCATCAGGAGGATGTTCTTCCACAGAACACCGAAATTTCTCCTAGAACATTCAGGTTTTCCTAAAAATTTTTCCTCTAGATTTTTCTGCTTAGACCAGAAATGACAGCAATCTATCACTGACCTCCCTTACCACTCTTCAAACTGTAGACATCTTCGCCGCTTCTCTCACAGAGTGGAGAATTTTAACTTTGTAATTTATAGCATGAATATTGATTTAGTGTGATTGATTTGAAGTAGTGAATTTGTCAGTGCAAGACTACTGTGCCTATTCATAAAATCTTTAGCTGTTAAAGCAGTATATTTTCAAAATATGTGATTAATATTTTCATAGTTTCTACAGTACCACCTAAAATCACCATGACTAATTTTTCCATAATTGCATATTTGTAACCACTTTTTTAAGTGACACATATGTAGACTCTATGTGTAAAAAATAATATATAGTAAATATTGTGTTATGTCTTTAATATGAAAGGACGTAAGAAGAAAGGGAAGGGAGGATCGGCAGACACCATTTCCACTGAGCAAAGAATATGTCTGCCTTTCCTGATAAATTATATACAGGTTCTAGTTATGTTTTTTTTTCCTATGCTAAAGTGCCTCCTCTCATGCAGGATGTTAATGGTTTAAATTACAATTAGTCAAAAAACCTAGCTATGAACAAAAGCTAGGTGAGTAGGTGATAACAATGCCTATAAAGGCTCAGAAAAAATTATTATAAAAGTCCATTAGCCAATGCGTCATATATAAAGTATGAGATAAAAAACCATAACTTAAGGCTGTTTAATGTCCTTCATTTTTAATTTTTAGGAAAACTGAAGGAAATGTTAACAATACACAGAAATCCTAGTATGTAACTTTCTGAAAGAGGGAATAGTATTTACAAATGACAATCTGTCCTCCTAATTTAGGATCATTTATTTGTTCCATAGCCTGCAGTTTGTGTCCAATGATAAATATCTGCTCAGGTTTTCTTGTTCCTTTAACAGATGATTTTTGTCATAAAACTTATGCCCTGTGATACACTGTTCTTATTTGATTTTCTTTAAAACTATGTAAGAGTCAATTTAAAAAAATAGATCTTTCAGTAGAAATTATTTAGGAAGAAAAAAGAGGCAATGGGTATAATCTCTATGTAAAAGCAAAAATGACCTTCTGTAGTAAATATTACTGTTTTTCGAGTGTGGAAAGAATAATATGTCTTGGCAGTGAAACATGCTATTTACCTGGGGCCTGTCAGTCATTCAGATTTTGAAAGACACAGAATTTATAAATTGTCAACACGTCTTTTAGGCAAGAACCCAATGTTCATCAAGAGCAAAACTAAAGCAAATGCTCAAATTAATTGAAAATCAAAATGCTGCCTGGTCAACTGATTTTAAGAATATATTACACATCATCTACAGTTCATATGTGATAATAACTGTAATCTGTGAGATACGGATGACAAACTACATGGCTATTACTGTGGTTTTCAAGTGGAATATGGTCTGGAGATCAATGGCTTGGGTTTTTCCTGCGTTCCATATAAAGCAAACTATTTGTCATCGGGCAACCCCCATAAATACAACTCTCTAATAGTGAAACTGCTGACAGCCTTGTAGGCGATTTCAGTAGTGAAGCCAGGACTAAACATACTGAACTACATTAGAGTCGGTCCCTGGAGGACAGACTTCAGCTCCATTGGCAAGGGCACCGTAAGAGTTCCATTTGATTCCTCATTAAACCTCTCGTAGGGATGAAAGCTCTGTCTGTGGCTGCTATTGCTTCTCTTTCTATAAAAGAGATGGTGTGGACTACGTAGGCTTCGATAGATTTTTAGATATTAAGAAAAGATTGTTTTTCTTAACAAAACAAAGCCTCCTGCAGATTAAAAAAATCTTCCAGTCCCTTGATCATTAAAAGCCTTATTATATTTCCAATGGATATAGCTTTATTTCAGTTGTGAGAATTCATTTTAAATGCCTACCTGAGGGCATGTTAAAGATACTCCTTTTCTGCATTTACCTTTTTTCCAAGAGAAGCAGCGTTACAAGGAAAATAGTTGGTGATAATAATCTCAGCCTTTACCTAATAGTATTCTTAGGAAAATGAAATCAGAACAAACATTTCGAAGCAATTGGTGAAGTATACATTACTATTGCATTATATGTTGCCAATGACCATTCTTGTTGATTTAGAGTCTTGAAAATAGCATAATAAGATTTAGCATATTTTGAAAGTATTGCTTTGGGAAACCAGTCAGTAGTTCAGATAAACACACAGCACACTCTGTGGATTGAAAACTCCGCACTGTTGATGATACATAATTCACATTCTTGTGGGAGTCTCTCCTAGGAAGATTCACAAGACTCTTATTGTTTTAAGTGCAATAAAAACAAACGGAACTATTTTATCCAGCAACAACTATGTAGAATATTTTATGCTGGAGAGAAAATTTTCTGTGATAATGAAATAATCTACAGTCTTCGGCCATCTAATCACAGTGTTACTTGATGGAATATTAATAATGCTAATTACTGAAGAATGCTTTACTGCTCATTGTTTGTTGTTATTGTTTCCCCAAAGTGGTCCATATGTACAAATGTACAAGGCATCAAAAGCTAAGCAAATGTTGATAGAAATAGTGGAAAAAAAAGACATATAGCAAAATAAGTATAAAAATACGAATTACTGTGAAAGTTCTTTTTTCATTTACAAGATGAGTGGTAGCAAAGGACAGTCTTTGAAATGTACAAGAACTCTTGATTTCAAATGGCTCATATGTAACTGTGCTGTATCTTCCTTGGTGATGTGGGATGGAGAGTATGTGAGTGTTTAACCATTTAGATAAAGAGAATGAAAGAGGGAAGGTTTGTTCTCTCTCTCTCTCTCTCTCTCTCTCTCTCTCTCTCTCTCTCTCTCTCTCTCTCTCTCTCTCTCACACTCTCACACACACACACACACACACAGTCCATGCCCTGTATCACTACAGTCACAACCAACACACACACACACACACACACACACACACACAACCACTCCCTTCCACGTGTTACTGGTCCTTTCTAACCACAACTGAGAGCAGATGTAGAGTAGTTGAGAGAGGGCTGGAATCTGGTCCCCGACTTGCTCCAGAGGAGCCAGGGAAGCCCCACGGAACTCCTGAGTCCGAGACTGTGCAAAGGTCTGGGGCGGAGCCTGGCGAGGGGCAGGCCAGTGATAAGAGGCAACGGGCGGACCCTGGTGGGAGGGCTGGGAGGCTGCTGTCACTTTATGAATCCGCAGCCCAAAGAACATTTCTGCTGCTAGAGGGTCTGGGCGGGCTGGGGCAGGGTCCCCGCCTCTCGCTCACCACGCGCACCCCGCGCCTGCGGTGGTGGTGGCAGCGGCAAAGCCTCGCCCACTCCAATCCCCACCTTCTCCATCCTTAGCTGTTCAAGAACAGCAGTGCCTGGCACGTTTCTGGAGTACCTCGGGCGCAAAACGGGAACAGGAGCAGCCGCAGGGAGATTGGAAAGGCAGCATGGGCCCTCCGGGAGCAGCCTCGGCGCCCAGGGTCTGAGGCTGCAGCCCCAGTTCGCCATTGTGAGCCTCCCCCGAGGGAACCTGCCTGCTTCACCGTCCCTCCAGGTCGCCGTCTGAGCCGCGATGGGGCACCTGCCCACGAGGACGGGCGGCGGCCGCCGCCTCCTGCCCCTGCTCTGGCTCTTTGTGCTACTCAAGGTAGGGAGCCCTCCATCCCCGCGTCGGCGGTCCTGCCTGCGCCCGTGCTCCAGCGCCCTCGCTCTGCCGCCGGGGAACAGCGCGCCCCGGGACGCGAGGGCCGGGCCGCTGGCAGCTCTGGCAGTGCAGCCTGGCGCACGCTTTGTTGTCCTAGCGTGTGCGCGTTCCGGGCGGTGTTACGGAGGGCGGTGGAAGAATAGGAAGTTTGCTCCTTCCAGCTTTCGCCCTTTGTGCTCTTTTACTGCCGCTGGTGTCCGCATCAGAGGTGGGCTTGCAGGATAATGCTTCTTCGGGAAAAATGAGGTCACTTTTCCTTCTGTGGCTACGTACTGCACCCCAATGCTGCTTAACCTTTCTGCCCTCCCCCAACCGAGTGTGAGCCTGCTTTGTGTTCATTTACCTTCTGCTGGAATTATGCACCGGGGGCTTAGCTCCCTCCTGCCAAAGGACTGCTGGGGGTGGGTCAAAAGAATCGTTTTCTTCGAAAAAGGAGTGTCCGCTTGAGCTCGGAGAGGACTCCTCTCTCCCCAAGTCTTTGGTCTTCAACCAGATAATACCCTTTACAGAGTCTCAAGACTTTTTCCCACTATATTTATAGGGGATGATATCTCTAAATTTCAATCGGAGAAAAATCTGTGTAATTTACTTTTTCGTGTCTTCTTTGGAGTATCCTACGTCAGTGTTTTACTTTGAGGACAACGAAAGGGGCTGCTTAAAAAAAAAAAAAATCCTAGTTTGACAACTATACCCTACATACAATTTTTAAAAGAAATTTTAGCTAGATGTTTTCTAGGAAAGTGTTATGAAGTTATGAGGTAATTGTCCACCGCTTGTGTCTTCAAAGGGTCTACTTTAGTTTTGTCATGAGTCCTTCCTGTCCATTCTCAAAGCAAACTACGTCCACTGGTTCGGGGAGCTATTCTTTCAGCACCACAGGGATCTCTTCCTTGGAAATGAATGAAACATTAATGGATGCAAATGTTTTCTTATCAAAGAGTCACTTCTTGCTTACATGCACCATTAGTTATGACCGCTTGACAAGGAGATTGTGGAACAGGACCAATGGATTGAGAACAGCGTCATTTTAAATATTCCACATTTTCATTTATCTTAATGGAAAATAAGAAAATAGTTTCAGGGAGAAAGAACAACAGAGTGTATAAAGAAGATTCTAACTTATATTTAATATATTTATTCATTAATCTTAAGTTTAAATAATAATTTTATTTAAAACCTGGTTAATAATAAGCTTGGTCATATGTTTGCACTCTAGGAGGTCACAGCTCCATGAGCCCATGTCACAATGTATTAGAGTTAAGTTTTCTATTAATTTTTCTATTTGTCAAATTCTGTCATGACTCTTTGTATCTGCAATAGTTGTCGTGCATCCAAAGTGACAAATTGAATCACCATACGTTTAACTAAGTCACAGCTAAGATTTACATGTAGGACATCTGATCCACATCCAACCTTTGCCACAACTGCAGGTTTTGATTTTAATTCTTTATAATGGGTGGGAATTCCAGAAATGGTTGGGAGTGGGCATAGAGTGCTGCAATTAAAATGGAAAAAAAATGTGGCGAAAGCTCTAACGAAAACTTGATATTGGAATGAGAAAACAGTCAATGATGGCATAATGGTATTCCCAGTGGCTGTAATAGAGGTTCACCTTGTTCCACATAATAGATGTACTTCACACATTAGCAGATCCGGGTCAGTTATGGGAAACTTCATCACATTCTACATGCATTGATAAAGCTTATCATTTCAGTAAATATTGTAATGGGACAAATAATTCTGTAAAGCTTTACTCTTTATTTTATATAAATGCAGTATTTTATGTCACCTGAATATAAATTATACCAGAGGAAGGATAACAACCGTGCCAGTCAGTCTTATATATACTAAACACACACTATGTGCCAGACAGTCTTTGAAGTATTTCACCTTTGTTATTTCATTTAACCCTATTTTGTTACAGTTGACAAGAGATGTTCAAAGTGGCAAACTGGGCACATAAAGAAATGCACTTACATTTGTGGAATAGTACCTATCACCTCGTAAATTGGGTACATACTATAACCTCTTTATAATTTGCATCAATTTTTGCATTTAAGGTCATGAATGTATGTCAGTAAAATAGAACTGAGATGCAGTTAGTGACAGGAACATGAAAAGAAATCCAATTGTTAAATACCAAGTTGTCAATCGAATCTCAATGATAAGATCTAAAAAGGTCTGTGTGTGCTAAATAAGAAACAAATCATTCCTCCAAAATCTCTGTGGTTCTCATACGTCAATAAATCTTTCACTACTCCATTTGAAATATCCTCTATATAAAAATGAAAATCTCTAAAAACCCTAGAGAAACTCAAGTATGAGGCTTGATTTATAGTTTTAGTTTTTTCACAAATTGGAAGCAAGCAGCTTGGTGTATACGATAGGGAAGTCTGAGGATTTAAATATGCGTGATCAGCTAGAACCAGTTTCATTGAGGTGTTCAAGACACACCTGGCCATGGATGTCTCTGTGCATCATTCCCTATTCATGGCTTAGTGATGGGCACATTTAATCAGGTATTTCAGATTGTCTAAATCACCCACTATATGCTATAAGGTGAACAGTTGCATAATTGACATTGCATAAGCACAATGTTAGTCATAAAATTTTTAAATTTAATCTTAATATTAAGGATATATTTATATCTATATCTCTATATCTATATCTCTCTCTACATATAGAAAGCAAAAGTAGAGCTTTGTTACAAATATACTGGGAACCTACCAATTTCAAAGTCTTCTACCCACATATGAATGTAAATGGAATATTTATCTGGTGAGTCTCTGTCTTGTGCATCTTCCCATAATTCCCCTTGAAAACAATGTAACTTCTGTCACTTATCTTATCTTTACTAAAACTCTCCATGAAAATTGCTTCCTGTATCAGTTCACTGTATATCAGGATTTTGTCAACTAAAATGAAAACTGTAAACTATGACATTACAGGAATGTAAATTCTGCCTTCCCTGAAGTGATGCTCATTAGTAGTCAACTGGAATGTTTCCCTAAACTCGTAGGCTTGGCATGAATCCTTTCTTTCTTAACCTCCTCTTTATATTTCCTTCCATTTCTGCTCTTATCGGACATAATCAAAGAACATCACATTTGAAAAGAAGGCCTTAATTATATTCTCTGAAAGGGGTTTATATTTAATTTTATGAAATGCGAGTGTTATGATGCTGGTCATAGTACTCTCATTCAGGAGAAATAGCCACTCTCCAAGGTCAGCCTGCCTTTCTCCACTTCCTTATGTCCTCCTCTCTCTTTTTCTTTTTCTCCCTGACCGCTTCTCACTTTCTCTCTCTCTCCCTCCCTCCTTCTCTCTCTCTCACACCCCCCTCCCCCTGCCATACACAGGAACTCCCATGTTCCTCATTGAGGCTCATCCTCTTTCTGGAGCAGCCTAGACCATCCTGCTAGCAATAGAGTTTGCCTCTCTGTCATTGACCCCGGTGATAAATGTTCTTGCCAGCCTTTTAGGAAAACCCTTTTACATGTGACATCCCCAATAAGTTGGAAAAGGTTCATTAGGCTGGGTTTCCAAAGGGGACTGGTGATAATACTTACCTCTGTGCGAACTGCTTTTGTTCTTTGTTATGTGAAAGATTATTCTTTTATGAAAAAAACAGAAAATTCACACTATACTTCTGCTTCATATTGACCCATTAAAATATACATCTATATACAGAGGTAATTAAAAGCAATATATGAGATGTACTTAGCACTATTTCTAGCATCTAACTACCCAGCTAAAGGTATTTAAATTTATAAGCACATTGACTCCTGAGTCTTATAAATATAACTCAAACTTGAGTCTTAAGGGTGTCTGCAAAGGACCTTTGGTGTTAGATACAGTTGGTGAACCTATAGAAAACATTGTGATTGACAGCAGTATGGAAAAATAGAAGGCTTAGCAGCAACTGAACAGCATTGACCATAGACATTTGTTTTTCATTTTCTTCCTAGGTTAACATATTTAGGTATGTACTTCCAATGTCATTGCCTTTTCAGAAGCATAGCCCCAGTGCAATGATGAGCTTTACTGGGAAGCACATAGGGTATGGAATTACTCCGAATATGTTATAAATATTTTTGAAATAAAGGAATGTTTATTGTAAACTTGTCTCCCACTGTGCTTAGTATGTGGTATTGGGAATGTAATAGAAGCTTAATAAACAGGATCCAAATTTTTGGCATTATATAAGTAGTTTCTGACTAAGATGTGTTAAAAATCATATTGTTGACTTGTGAACACATCTTTAAGAAAAACATGAGAAAATTATTGTTATGTGAATTAGATCCTTGTAATTACAATGCAATCATTACACTAAAAATATTATCAGTCCCTTCTATGAACAGCCTATTAGGATCCTAGATCAAAATACTGATGTTATTTTTTTCAGAAAAGTAATAATCATGATTCCTCATTTATTCATCAGGAGAGAAGAGGCCCATAGCCTTGTGTTCACCCCAACCCATGCACCCTCTTATCCATTTCCACCTGCACTCTCGTACTTTCTGTAGGCATTGTGGTTACCTAATATTCTGAATGTATTGATACTACCAAACAGGATGTTTGAAACAAGGTTGTGGAGATTTCTTGAATAAAGATTTCTATTTTGCTTTCTGTTGAAACATTTAGATGAAATGGAGAAAAATGATATTCACTTGGAAAAATATTTCAGAAACAGAGAATTGGAATTGGAACTAGGTCTCTGACTTTGAGAGTTGTATTGCAAGTTATGAACATGCACAGTAGTTTCTGTGAAAAATAAAGACAGTGAAAATTAGGGAATCAAGTGAAAAAAAGTTTGGTTAAAATAAATGAATTGCTATTCTATATATATGAAAATATATGAATTTTCTTATCAAATATGCTTCATTCACTTGGTTTTTTAAACTCTTCCTAAAGAGAAATGCTGTACAGTTAATTTTCCTAAC